GTGGATCTTGACTGAAAGCAGAGAGGAATATCTATCTGTGTTTAATTGACTTTGCAAAGGTATTTGACTGTATGGATCATAACAAACTGTGGCTGACTCTGAGAGGAATAAGAATCGCAGAATACTTGATTTTGCTTATGTGAAGATTATACTTGTCCCAGGAGTCAGTGATCAGAACTGAGCAAGGAAACATTGCATGGTCCAAAATCAGAATATATATGCCATGGATGCATTCTATCTTCATACCTTTTCAATCTATATGCAAAACAACATCCAGGAAGTTGGCTATGAGGAGCAATGTGGCATCAGGATTGGAGGAAGACTCATCAATAACCTGCCTTATGTAGATGACACAATCTTGCTTGCCAAAACTGAGGAAAACCTGAGGCATTTTCTGCAGAAGATCAAGGACTGCAGCCTTCAATATAGATTGAAGCTCAACATCAAGAAAACAAAAATTTTCACCATTGGGCCAATTGGCAACATCATGATGGACAGTGAAGAGACTAAGATTGTTAACAGCTTCAGCTTGCCTGGCTCTACAATCAACATTCTTGGTACCAGCAGCCAGGAAATCAAAAGATCAATTGCATTAGGAAAGTCTACTGTCAGAAACCTCTCCAAAGTACTGAAGAGCAACTATATCAGTCTAGAGATTAAGGTACACCTGATCCAGGCCATGATCTTCACAATTACTTGCTATACATCAGAAAGCTGGACAATGACTAAGTATGATAGAAGAATTGATGCCTTTGAGTTGTGGTACTGAATTAGAGTATTGAATAGATCACGGACTGTTAGGAGAACAAACAGGTTTGTCTTGGAGAGGGTGAAAACAGGCTGTTCCTTGGAGTCAAGGATTCTGAAACTTTGTCTGACAAACTTTGGGCATGTTTCAAGGAGGGACTGCTCCTTGGAGAGGGATATTATGCTTGGAAGGGTAGAGGGACAGTGGAAGAAAGGAAGAACCTCGATGAAATGTATTGACTGGGACCAATCAGTGACTGAGGTAATGGGAGTATGTGTCAGAGACAATGAGGTTGGCTCAAGGTAGAGCAGAGTTCAGAGCTATTGCACATAGTATTGCTATGGGTCGCAAGTGACCTCAGGCATGTAACAACAACAACAACTCTTTGGTTTAAATATTTTGAAATGTGTTTAAATATTTTAAAATGTAATAATTTGTTCCATAAGCGACACAAAAATTGAAGGTACACAAGAGTGAGCCCTTGATTATAGTTTGCCAGTCTCTCTTCTGTATAACAGAACTGTTACGAATTGATTGTGCCGGCGCTGGCTGAAAATCACCTGTGACTTCATCCATAGCCACTGGTGAGAGTCAGC